ATAGAACTAAACTAGTTCATTCTCTAAGCATTGTCGTGTAATGTTTAAAGTATACTGTGTGCCAACCTCAGTATTTAGAATCCGGGCAGGAGATCTGATGGGTGTTATAAGGCTGCAATTTATTTATTCTTCTCACACATCACATCCCAACTGCAGCCTTCCCTCCCTCCACTCCCCCCAGCCCTGCCTGTCCCACACCCCTCCTTTCCCCCAGATCCATTGTTCCTCTGTTTTCCTTGGGAAGAGAGCAGGCTTTCCAGGGATATCAACTGAGCACGGCCTAACAAGATGCAGTAAGACTGTGCACAAACCCTCACATCAAGACTGGGTGAGGAAACCCACGAGGAGGAGAACAGACCCAAGAGCAGACAAGAGACTCAGAGACACCCTAAACTCCCGCTGTTAGGAGTTCCAGAGGAACACCAAGCTAACAACCATCACACACAAGCAGAGGACCTAGAGCAGACCCATGCAGGCTGTGTTTGTCGCTTCTGTCTCTCTGAGCCCCCATGAGCCCTGCATAGTTGATTCTATTTATTCCTTTGGCTTCTACAATCCTTTCTCCTCTTTCATGGGATTTCCATAGCTCTGCCTAAGGTTTGGCTGTGGCATCTGCTCCTGTCAACTGTGGGAAGACGTCTGTCTGGTGACAACGGGTTAGGCATTAATCTATGAGTATAGCAAACTATCATTAGGAATCATTTTATTGCCTTTTTTTTTTTTGGTCTATCCTAGGTCTCTGGGCTGTCCAGCCTTGGATTCCTGGTCATCCAGGTAGTGTCAGGCATGGGCTCCCTTTCTGGCAGCGAGCATCAGATTAGATCAGTCATTGACTGACCACTCCCACAAGTTCTGTGCCTCCATCCTCCCCCCCCCCCCAACTCCCCAGGTCTTTCAGGCTGGGTAGGATTGTAGGTTGAAGACTTTGTGACCCACCGTCGGAAGTTGCATGGTTAAAGAAGGTAGCCAGCTCACCACATTACTAGGAGCCCTTGCTAGGGTCACCCTAACAGAATCCTGAGAGTTTCTACTGCACTAGGCTTCCACATCACAACCCCCCACAAAGCCCTCCAGTTCTAGTCACTTCTTCCTGCACTCTTGCTGCACTCCCTCGCCCCCAACCAGATCCCTCCTACTACTATCCCACCTGCAAAATCTATTTTATTATCTATTTTATTTCCCCTTCCCAGAGAGATCCATGTGTCCCCTGCAGAGCCCTGCTTGTTACCCAGCCCCTCCAGGTTTGTCGATTGAAGTTAAAATGATCAGTTACTTAACAGCTAACATTTACTTATGAGTACATAAGTGAGTACATACTGTTTGTCTTTCTGGGCTGGGTTACTTCACTTAGATTTTTTTCTAATTCCATCCATTTGCCTATAAATTCCATGATGTTATATTTTTTTCAACAACTGAGTAATACTTCATTGTGTGAATGGACCACATTTTCTTTATCTGTTTGTTGGTTGAGGGACATCTAGGTTGTTTCCAGTTTCTTGCTATTATGTATAAAGCTGCTATGAACATAGGTGAGCAAGGGTCCCTGTGGCATGATGGAGCATCCTTTGGTTATGTGCCCAAGAGTGGTAGAGCTGGGTCTTAATAGAGATCAAGTCCGTTTTCCAAGGAATCACTCCACATCTCATCAGCATGAGCAGTCACCTGTGGTTTTGATCTTAGCCATTCTGACATGTGTAAGATGGAATCTCAAAGTAGTTTTGATTTGCTATGGATACTGAACATTTCTTTCAGTATTTCTCAGCCATTTGAGATTTTTCTATTGAGAATTGTTTGGATTTGTAGCCCCCTCCCTTTTTTAAAGACAAGGTTTCTCTGTGTAACAGTCCAAGCTGTCCTGGAACTTGCTGTGCAGACAAAGGCTGGCCTCAAATTCAGAGATCCGCCTGCCTCTGCCTCCACAGTGCTGGGATTAAATACGTGCACCACGGCACCCAGCTGTCCAATTTTTTTTTAATTGGATTGACTTATGTCTAGTTTCTTGAGTTCTACATAGAGTTTGGATATTAGCCCTCTATTGTATGTGAATTGGTGAAAATCTTTTCCCATTCTACAGGCTGCCATTTTGTCCTATTGAGTGGTCCTGTTTATTGTTGATCTTAGTGCCTGCACTATCAGTGTTCAGTTCAGAGAGTTGTCTCCTGTGCCAATGTGTTCAAGGCTATTCCCCACTCTCCTATCAGATTCAATGTATCTGGATTTATGCTGAGGTCTTGGTCCACTTGAGCTTGAGTTTTGTGCAAGGTCACAGACATGGGTCTCTTTGCAATCTTCTAGATGCAGACATGTTAGACCAGCACCATTTATTGAAGACACTTTCTTTTTTTCCATTGTGCCTTTTTGCTTTCTTTATTAAAGATTGGGCATCCATAGATGTGTGGATTTATATCTGCGTGTTCAATCCATTCTGTTGATTGGCATGTCCGTTTTTATGCTGATTCTACTCAGGTTCTATGACTATAATTCTGTAGTACAGCTTGAAATCAAGGATGGTGATACCTCTGAAGTTTTTATTGTCAGGATTGTTTTAGCTATCCAGAGTTTGTTTGGTTTTTTTTCCATATGAAGTTGAGTATTATTCTTTCAAGGTCTGTGAAGAATTGCATTAGAATTCTGATGGTGATCGATGGGGACTGCTTATAATCTGTAGCTGATAGGACGGCCATTTTTACTATGCTGATCCTACCCATTCATGAAGGTAGGATTTATCTATTTATAGAACTTGAAGAATTCATAAGAAATACACCAATGAAGAAAGGGCTAACAGATCTGCTATGAAGATATTTATATGAATAAAATCCACAGGGCAATTTTGCAGACTTCAGTTACATGAACTGATGAACAGGCAGCAACAAATAGCTATGCTCTAACAGGCAACCCATACCCCTACACTAATGAAGCTGTAAGGGCCTCTAGTCTTCTCTAGATGTTTCTAAAATGAAGAGATTTGGTTTTGGTGGAAGACCGGCAGAGTACAGTGAAGTATAGTTACTGTAGCAAGCAATGGCCTTTCCTTCATCCTGAGATGTCAAAGCCCAGTAACTGAGGGAAGGGGAAAACCCAACATCTTTCTGAAGAGTCCACCTTGATTCATGCCCCAACTCCCAAATAAGCAGCCTTCAGTGGACAATTCTACAAATACAGAAATAAAGAACAGACGAAAGAACATCCAAGGGTACAGTTTTCATTTGCTGAACATCTTTCTTCCCATTTTCCTTATAAATAGGTGTGCTGGTTAGTTTTTATTATCAACGTGATACAACCTAAAGTTACCTGGAAACAGAGCCCCAATGAGGTTGGCCTCCGTGTCTGGGGGATTGTCTTGATTGGTTAGTGATGGAGAAGACCCAGTTAGCTTAGACAGCACCATTCCTTAGCAGGGAAATGCTGAACAATTTAGAGGCAAAGATAGCTCCATTGTCTCCTTGCTCTTGACAAGGTGGATATGAAATAAGTAGCTGTTTGTGTGTCAGCCTTTCCCCAAAATGACTGACTGACCTGGAACTGTAAACCTTTTCCTCCTTTGTGATGCTTCTGTCAGGGTGCTTGTCACAGCACCAGAAATGAAACTGGAGAAACATAGGCAATCAGAGACCTTGGACAGTGCTGAGGTACACTAGTACTGGTAGGTCTTTCTGGTCCTTATATGACACAAATTTGTCCACAGATAATAACCAGCAATGTATGCTATTATATGATTCTTCACAGCTCTAAAGAAGAATGGATGCATAAAACATTTCCAACTAAAGTTCATAGAACTCTAAATAATTATATCATTTCAGAATTCCAGAGCTGCAAAGAGCCCTACTGACAGCCTGACCAAATTCTATTTTTGTAATTAGCAACTGAAATTCATTCACACTAAAGTAACTGGCCTCAAGTCTTTTCCCTGTTGGCAAGGATGGCACTCTGTATTTGTCATTTATGTGGACTGAGCTTGTGTGCCAGTGTGCATGTGTGTGCAGATGCACAAGTGTGTGGACAACCAACCTAATTTTCATTTTCAGGTGCTGTCCACCTTGTCTTTTGAGACAGGTTCTCTTGTTTGAGGATGCCACTGTGCCTGGCATTTTTACATAAGATCGGCAGGTGTCGGGGGACACTAAAGTTACTCCCCACTGTCTGTACTTTACCAACTGAGCTACCGAGTGCCTGGGCTGAGCTTTTAAAAGGACTAATTTACTCGACTTAGAAATAAATCCTGCATATCTACTATATTACATAAATCTTTTAAAATTATATGTTAGAAAGGCAATGTTAATCTTTAAATAGCCTACCAGGCAGCATGATATATCACATCCATTTTATTAATATGAAGCAGTAAGGTAAATCTTTAACAGGAGTACTGCATATAAACATATGCGATACTTTGATATAGTATCAGGTTTGATTCAGTCAATTCTGTTATTTACTTTCACTTCCACATGTATAAAAACATTTATACTCTAGCGGCAGACAGAATGGCACACAGCCATGTTTATCTTCTTTCTAGTTTCATGTAAATGACCTCATGTGCATTACATTTTCACCACACAAGTAATTCATAATTAAGGAAGCAAGCAAGCAAGCAAGGTGGTAGTACAAAAGACCTTTTCACAAGGTCCCTTCTGCAGTAATGTTTGAGAAAACAGTCCTATAATGGGACTGTAACCAAGCACATCCCACAAGGACATGACGGTGGTCACTCTCCTGGAGAGTTTCTGATCTTATCAAGAGTAGAATTAGTGGGGGACTGCAGAGATTCTGGAGACTCTCCTAGAGATTACTGTGAGCATACTCAACCTGTAAGGACTACAGTAAGGACAGCATGACACTGAATGGCTCTCCTGAAGAAACGTGTGTCCAAAAAGACACAATAATATGATCAAGTGCTGTTGTAATTTCTTTGTTGTTGTTTTGTAAAAGTAGAGACCAGGAAAGCAGAAAAATGTGGCATTATGAAAACATAAGGAAACACTCTTGAAGAAGAAACACTTCACACAGAAGTTTTAAATGGTATCTAATAAATTTCATGTCAAATTTAACTAAACATATAAAAATTTTAAATGGCAACTAATAAATCCCCATGTCAAATCTTTTTTAACAAAATCCACAAATAGATTATAAAAATTGAACCATCATAAATGTCTTCTGTATAAAGTTTTATGGGAAGTTGAAGTTTCTCCATCATTCTGTTTGATCCTCGTGAACCGCAGCTACTGCTGAGAGCAGCAGGCTCCTCTCGAACTGCCATGAGAGCAGTGTCACAGTTAAGTCTGGGGCAGCAGCATCCTATTAATCCTCAGTCATCCACAAATGTCAGCCGTCCAGGCCCTTCGTTCTTCATCCATCTCCGGTACCGCTTCCATCGAGGGTCATTTGCCAATTTTTTCTTTAATTCTTCATCTTGTTCCTGCTTGTAGACCTATGAGCATAAACAATGTAAATGACTTTAATCATAAAGTCAGAGAGAAACCCATGTTGCTGTATTTGTGGAATGTCTAGTTTCCAATATAACTTTAGGTGAGTGTGCCAATTTGCCTTCTGGAGACTCAAATACTAAAGTACTTTAACATCCAATGTCAGAACAACCAACTGTACAAGAGCTACAGCCTCGCTGTTTGGTGTCTGTGATGGACTCTTGCAATGTAGCTCAGGTGGCCTGTGACTTGCTAAGTAATTCAGACTAACTTTGCATTCACAATCCTCCTGCCTCAGTCTTCCTGATGTATAGGATTAAGAGAGGTATACAACACCATGCTTGACCTGGCTTGAATTAGTACTTTTTTCCCTTCAAATTTTTTACTTAAATAAGGAACAAAGTGGCTTTATGTATACATTTGCCTCGAAATTGAATTTACATCTACTTTTCAAAGATAATTAGTATTTTATTTAAAGTCACAAAAAATTGCATAAATCACACAGGTTATGAACAAGAATTTCTAGTATTTCTTTAAGTTTTAGTCAACCAAAACTAAATGAGCAATTTCTTACAGTTTTACAGCCACATTAATTTTTAAAAAGTATTGTTTCCAAATAATAAAAGGAATGACTAAGAAAACCTCACGCAATATAATAATTCAGCCCAATACAAGAATCTAAAAAGACAGGATTTAAAGGAAAAAACTTTCAAAAATCTGTGCATGTGTGTGTGGATGGCAGTGTTGGCATGTGTGTGTGTGTGTGCGTGCGCGTGCGCCTGTATGTGTGTTTGTAAATATGGGTGTGAACACGTATATAAAATGCAGAGGCTTAGGGCTGAAGGAGATTGTCTTTTCTTCAGCATTCCCAGCTTTTATGTTTAAAACAGGGTCTCTCCCTGAACCAGAGCTCACAGATTTAGTTGGCTTGCTGGCCAATGAGCAGCAGGGATCCACCTGTCTCCACCAAGCTCAGTTTTTCATGTGGTTTCTGGGAACCCTAGAAAGAAGCCATGCATGTGTGGCAAGGACTTTACTCACGGAGCCTCTCCATTCCCTCAAAAAGTTTTAAAAGCTAAAAAAATAGTACATTATTTCCTATTTTTAGGGGGTTTACACACAGGAATATATTTACTTGTCAAACATCTGACAACTCCTAGTAATTTTACTTTCAATAAAGATCTATTTAGAATATTACACACAAAATGGAGTTGACTACAAAACAATGTAACATCAAACATATCTTAAATTTCTGAAGAATGAAAAAAAATTTCTGAAGAATGTTTCACTGTGCTCAATGTATAATTATTTTCATTATATTAGCCAATTAATTGTTTCAGAACCTGGGACAGTGTGATTGCTGGAGCCTTCAGCGTTGTGGTTAGACTGCTGACTACATCTGAGTAATTTCTGTAGCTGACAACAGTGGAAATTAACACTTGATAAATTTTTTTATGCCCCAGCTTTAAAGGCATTACAGTAAGCTGATTTAAATAAAAAGTCCAAAATTTAGTAGTACTATTCAGAAGAGTCTATGCTCAATAATTTTGAAATAAACAATTATTTCAACATTTTTTTTCTTTTTTTCTGTCTTGTTGTTTTGGAAAGGAACAAATTTAATGAGTGCAAACAACAGAAAGCCATCTAGATAGCCTATGTATATCAGTCCACTGCAGTTTGACAAGCTAGACTACCCTTAACTTTTGCTAAGATTAGCTGATTAGATTAGATACTCTAAAGTGAAACCCACCGTCCCACTGTAACATACAGTCACACTTTCTAGTAAAGTAGGACCTCCATTCCTCACTGGACTCCTCACCACCATGGACCTGCAGCATGGGAGACACCACTCTCCTCTGGCAGCAGCCACCACTCACCTCGTAATTCTCCTTTATCCAAAGCTCCCGCTTAAGAAATGTCTCTTTCTGGTGGTCCTCCAGGCTGTCAAACTGAGACTGGGACATCTTCATAGACTTGCGTATGAGGTAGAGCCTCTCCTCCTCCCCATACTCTCTGCCTCTGATGTTAAAGTTATAGACCCACCGGCAGTACCAAGCTATGTACGAGCACAGGTGAAAAGGAGCGAGGATGACTTGAAACAGGAGGAGGTCACGTACTTGGGGTTTCTGGTAGCCCCCCTTTATGTCTATCTTACTTTTTATAATGTTCTTTATGATGCTCTCCTCCTCGTCACGGATTTCTTCTTTGGACTTCTTGTTTTTCCCTTTCTCTTTGGCTTTTTTGAGCAGTCCCTGCTCCTTGGCAATCTCTGTTGCCTGGATGCGGTATTTGGGTACTGTGGCTAGGTAGCTGATTGCTTTATTGTAGCTATTCCACCAGCTGAAATACTAGAACATAAAATAAAAATAAGTCATTTTACTAGAAAAATCCACCAAAAAAAAAAAAAAAAAGCAACAGCAGTAATTCTTGTGAACGTCATTTCCCACAAAAGCCCAGCTAACTAAAACTAAGGGTCTCGCCAGGTGTGGCAACTCAGGCCTGCAGACCCAGCACCTGGCTGGGGGAGGCTGAAGGATCTGAGTTGGAGATCACCCAGAGCCATGTATAAAAAATCTATCTCAAAATACCAGTTAACAACAGTGAGCTCAAAGATCTTAATTATTGGCAACACACCTCCCCTGCCCTTTGCTCACCAGAGGAACAGTTAATAAGACATTCGTTTTCAACCCTCACAGGCTGTAACTTCAGGCCACATTTTTACTTTTTATCTCTTTCCTAAATATCTACATGTCCAACAGGAATGCTTACCATATTCGGAACACAAAGACTCAAGTATATTTGAATTCTACTCATCTGGTAATAGAAAATTCTCATAGTCCATAAATATACTCAACCTCAAAGGGTTTAACTCTCAGCAAAGGCTTTTCTGCTCATACAGCACACATGCTTCAGGTACTACACTAGTAACATCCTGGAATCCACCAGAAATGGAAGAGAGGAAGAGGGCAATACTTCTACAAATGCTAAGGAGCTGAAATATACCATCTCAGCATTTAATAAGAATGTTTTATTATTTGAATTGAATATTGTTGCTAGAGAAGCAATTTTCAGGACTGGAGAGATGGCTCAAGGGTTAGAGACACATGTTGATCTTCCAGAGCACCTGGGGTTGGTTCAAAGCACACAGAACCATCTTGAACTCAGCTTCAGGAAATCTGACATTCTCTTCTGACCTCCAGACACGAGGCACACAGGTGGTTGCACATATATACATGCAGGCAAACATCAATATACACAAAATAAAACACTTTAAGAAGAGAGAAGTCATTCTTAGACTTGCCAGTTTCTTCCTAATCATTACTAAATAAGCACATGAGAAGCACAGTTTAAGAAGAACAGGGAAGATGTCACTCAAGGCTGAACTTAGACCCCTGTGGTGTTTTAAAAACACACATGGAGTTCGTGCACCACTTTGAATCTGAGCCATTGGTTTGCCAGTTGAGCAGCAGCCCCTTCTGGGCATGCAGAACTCTGTGGGGTATTTAGGATTGCTAAAGAAGGCAAGCACTGCTGGCATCAGCCAATGGAATGCCAGCCTTATTAGGTCACAGGAAGGGTGTTCTTAACTTTTCCAAGTTTATGGGAAATCACTGAAAAGTCCTATGAAAGGACATATCATCTGGCTGTGTGGAACCAAATAGTATTCAGAGGGAGATGAGCTATGCAATGATATTTATGTGGTTTGAATGAGAACTGTCCCCTGTAACTCAGGTGTCTGGGATGTGGTGGAGCCTTGCTAGAGAAAATGCAGCCCTGGGGTGAGCTCTGAGAGTTTACAGCCTCGCTCTACTTCCAGTTTGTCCCCTCTACTTTCTGCATGATGAAGATGGACGCTTAAAAGAAATCCCACACTAGCTCAGAATTGAGAAATAGACAGTTATTTATTTAGGGGTAGACTCACAAATCAGAATCCTTTGCTGGAACAAAGAACAGAAACCGAATTCCGCAGCCAGAAAAGAGACTGGACGCATGCTCTACAGCAGCACAAATAGTACAAGAGACCACGCCCCAGCGGGCGGTAACTACTGGCTGCAGAATTTCCTACAGCAGCATGATGAAATTTGATCAGCTCCTTTCTCAGGCTACCTGCCACTGTGCCCTTCCTTGCTATTATGGATTCTCTCTGGAACTGTATTTTTTTTGTTTTGTTTTGGGAGATACAGTTTCTCTGTGTAGACCTGGATGTCCTGGAACTCACTCTGTAGATCGGGCTGGCCTCGAACTCACAGAGATCCAACTGCCTCTGCCTTCACAGTGGTGGAATTAAAGATGTGTGCCACCACCGCCCGGCTTAATTCTTCCTCCTCTGAGTTGTTTCTGTCATGGTACTTTATAAGAGCAGTAGAAAGGTGACTGGTAGAATAGCCACTAGTTTCTTAGACTCCTTGACAACAAAGGGGTCTAGGGAGGAGAGTATGTATACTCTACCTATAATATGTATTTGTATGTATATTATACAGCTGGAAGAAAAATATACTTATAGTACAGATTTAATGACTAGCACTTGTCAACATAAGTACGCAGAAATACATACCTGAAACATTGAAATGGCACACACAGTGACCAAAATCACCACCCTAACATCCACTTTTGGGGCTAGGCGTCTGCTGTAGTAGTGGTAGTAATGGCTATAGTATTCTTCTGGGTGATCCAGCATGTAGTCATAATCTTTCCGTGTTTCTTCATCCTGTAAAGTGAGGGATATTCTACTTCATACACATTTCATTAAGCACTTCAGTTTATAATCTGTTAACTGAGAATTTCAGAATTATGAAAGATGCAAATAAAATATCAAATCAAAAAACTTCCCAGTACCTTAAAGGCATGTATACACCTTTGTTCTCAGGACTTTTACATTAGGTATAAAGGCAGAATAAAAACACTCCCTAAACGCCTTAGTATTTTCAGTATTCTTGGAAAACCCAGCACTTGGAAAATAGCTAACCTTTAGCTAATGCTGCTCCTGATGAAGTTCCTGGAACTTCATTCTGATACTTGCTCAAGACCACTGAGAGGAAATGGGGTTTATCTCCTTTATAGTCACAATCAGGTTCCAGCTTTGTCTAGGAAGGTTTTCTGTTGAAAGCAATGATTAAGACAGCAAAAGGCAAATGAGGCCAGTCTAAGCCTAATCATGCCGAAGAACACTGAGACATCACTAAGCACAAGATAAAGAGCAAAGTCTAGCTTTGGGACCTGGGCAAAATACTAAGCTCCCCTGAGCTTCATTCTCTTTCTTTGTAAAAAGAAATACTACCTGTCCTAGTCTTTCCCATGGTGCTCTGAATATCAGAAGACATACACTGTGCGGTCACAGGCTACAGAAGGGCAGTACTTTACTGCTGTACACACTGACAGAGCCCACTTCATGAATGATTAAACCTACCTTTCTTATTAATATAAATTCTGTCCAAAGAATTCTGAAAGTTTTAGGGGATGTTCTATATTTCAGCTGTTTAGATGTGTGGGTGTGCATGCACACACATCTGTGTGTGTGAATACAGGCATGTGAGTGCCACAGTGCAAGTGTAGAGGGCAGAGGTCAGCGTCAGATGTCAGCCCTCACTGTCCACCTCGTTTGGTCGGGGACTCTCCTTGTGCACTGCTGTGTACATCCAGCTCGGTGACTTACAAGCTTCCAGAGAGGGACAGCACCACACCCATCTGCACGTGGGCTCGGGATCTTAACTCAGGTCACCATGCTTACACCAGCAAGCACTTTCTCTCCCTCCCCTAGCATCTCTCCATCATAATCAGCATTTCTCCAAAGTCTCTTTCATCTTTTTATGTAATCAGCTAACATATCAATGCCAACATTTTATTGGGCTACCTAGGAGCTATTGAAGTATATATGATACAGTTTTTATCTCAAAAGATGAAAGAAATCTATTTTTCAAGTTGTTCCATCTTATGAAAATGGTACACTAAGACCAAGACAAATTATTTGATCTTTATATAATGTGCAATATAAAGCATTGTAGAAATAACAACAACCTAAGAGGATGACCTTCTAGTTTAAACCAATCAACATTTTTCAAGCTGTACCTTTTGAGTAACAGACATTTCAAAATCCAACCCAGTGCCTGTCACTGTGGGTAGATGCTACAAGGTCTGTTTAGAGTTTGCTGCCTTTTGAGTCCTTCAACATGTACCTTCTTATAGTTAAAATAAAAAGTTGGCTAGTGATAAAATCTTTTCTATGTTTATTAAAATCATCATGTATTTTCCATTAAAAACTGAACTTCAGAAAGAATGTTCAGTGAAAGTTCTCACTAGCACATGAAAGTTGGCATTTAGTTAGCTGTAAGTCTCTTTAGACACTGTATGACAGACAGTGTGTGGAGGGCTGAAGAACTCACTGTTAAAAAAGCAGGAGTGGACTCAGGCTGATACCGTCTTCAAATTCACTCCTTCTATGTTCTCTTTTGTCAAAAAAAAAAAAAAGGGTTTTCTCATGGCAGTCTCTACGCCACGAATCCACTACTCCTTATCAAGCCGTCACCATACCCCAGAGCTTCTAACCCAGGAAGTCCATCTTTACAGCAGACACACAGGCAGTTCTGGGTACTAACACCCACATCTCCAGCCCACATCTCCAGGGGTGTCTCACTCAGTACTTTAAGATATCCTTTTAGAATTTCCCTCTTCCACCACGCTTTTGGTCCTGGTGGCTAGTTTTATAGAAACATCCTCATAAGGCCTGAAACTTAGCTTTAACCCAAGCTTCCAACCTTTTGAAATGTATTCAAACATTTCTTTTTGTTCGAACCAGAGCAAAGACTGCATATAATTTTGAAATAAATGCCACACTCAAGTCAGACTCCTACCACCCTCTACCACCAGCCTCCACAGAGTCCTTTGTCCAGCTTGTTTGCTGCTCCCTAGTTGAGGGCACTGATGATGCCCTATGTGCCTGTTCAGTCTTCTTTCTCCCCTTCTCTAAGTGAGGTGGCATTCTATGAACACAGATGGTACTCTTGCTCAAGCATCATGTCCAGACCTTCCCCCAGGGTCACCATCTTCTCAGAGTTTCTGGACCTATGGCATCAGGTACTAGACTGCGCTAAGAGGGTGGTGGCTAAAGCTCCACCCTAGTATCTGCCTCTCCTCAGAGACTCCTAGAGCTATTCAGAGCTTTCTAAGTCCCAACGCTACAGAACACTCTTCAGAGGTCACAGGGTCAAATCTGACTTCTCTTAGGATGGTTACTTTTTCTAAGAAACACCTCAAATGTGCCTATTTTGGTTTTTAGAGGGCAAAAAAAGTTGGCCACCTCCTTGTTATAGCATTTATTCATTTACTGAATTTTTACTGTAAAACCTTTTTTCCTCTATAAAATGAAAACAATCTTTGAGCTGAAGCATTCATGAAATTTAAAAAATATTCAAAGTTGGTACAAAGTGGAAAAGGAGTTCTCTCAACAGATTAAGGTCAAGATCCTATTTTTTTGCTTTTTTTTTTTTTTTTTTTTTTTTTGGTTTGTCGGGACAGGGTTTCACTGTAACTTTGGAGCCTGTCCTAGAACTAGCTTTTATAGACCAGACTGGCCTTAAACTCACAGAGATCTGCCTGCCTCTGCTTCCTGAGTGCTAGGATTAAAGGTATGCGCCACCACCGCCCAGCTGAGATCCTATTCTTTAGTAATCTACAAAGTTTAAGACATACAGACACCAAGAATATGTAGCCAAAGACAGAATAAGAACGGCTATCTTCCTTTTAGGGGTCATATGAGAGAACTAAAGTGTACTGTTACTGTAATAGTGTTTTCCCCTCTAAAACGTCTTAGAACAGAGGCTCACAGGTTTCTCATTTTGATCTGGAATGCTTCCCCACAGTCAGAGCTTACATTTCCTTGGCATGCAACCAGACCCCACACTGGTCCAGACTCACCTGCCTAGCAATACCTCAGCATCGCTCTCAGACAATGAAATGTATTTTCTTGAGACCATATAAAACCCTCTCTAATTTGAAGCATATTCCCTTCTTCTAACATTATGAGCTCCTAAAAGTCATGAGTCCTACTGCTTCAAACAGCTTTTTGTGATGGGAACTGAACCCAGGCCCTTGAGCATGCTAGCGAGACTCTACCACCACTGAACTACGATCCCTTACCCTGGAACACTCACATCACACTTAGTGCCTGTTTATTATAGCACTTATCACATGGTAATTAACAGGTTCTTGTCCTTGAACGAGAATTTCTTAGACGGTGGGTAGTAGGGTTTTCATTAACCTCTATGTTCCCAGGGCCTAGCTCAGTGCCTGGCAGTCAGTATGTCACTTCAAAATGATGTGAAATGTGTAAGTTTCTCCTCCTTACACCATCTCTCTCCAGCCACACAGGTCTGCAGCTCACCAGCAAGGCTGGATGAGTGATTATGTCACAAAAACCTCAGCGCGACAGAAATGGCTGCTTGAATTTACAGCTTATGAAAATATGCTAATGTGGCTAAATCAGCTTGAATAGTTTAATATCTTACCTTTCAATAAGGTAGTACTTTTCCTTTCAGCAATATTGTGCATCTTAAGGTCCCAGGGTCAGGAGATTCCAACTTCTTTCCAAAATCAAAACCTTTATACTTGTTTCTTCCTCTCTGTCCTGAGCCTCGACAAGCAGGGCAATATACTCCTTGTTTCTAATTTCTACAGGAGTAAATGGTGCTTCTGCTGGTGTCCATCCATTCCCAATCCTCTTGGGCATATGCAGAAGGACTGGAACACAACCACCAATATCTAGATCAAAAGTGAACAAAGGAAACCCACAAGCAAAGCAGCCCTTGCTTCTCTTGTGAAAATGACCACCCCCTCCCCGAACAAAAGCATTATGTCCTTGGCTTAAAATTAGCTATGCATTGTTTACTTTCAACAAACATGAATTGCAATACATGATATTGCAGCCAAATTTACACCAAAACGTTCTATTATGCAGAATAAGGAAACCATTTTCTGATGGTAAAGGCCAGAAATCAAGACTATGTGAAAATGTAATCATATTTTGCTCATTCTTAAAAATACATATCTTATTAACACACACACACACACACACACATACAAATGATGATGTTTCAAAAATAAAACCTGTTCCTTCACATTTTTCTCCATGTCATTATATTAAAGAAAATTAACTGCTATCAGTTCTTTGTTCTTTCTTGTTCCCTGACCCCTAGTTAATCACAAGTACATATATTATGTGTCTTCTCAAGGTCCTTGATCCAACTATCTATGCCCTGTGACACCTTTACTTTCCCTGGCTCCTCCTCCTTTCAACTATGTCCTGAACATTTTTTAAATGTACCATAAATAACTCCAATTCAACAAGCTCAAAAGCAGATTTGCTCTTCTGTGTCTCAGCTAATAGTATCAATGTGTACCTATCACCTCAATTTTTACAATCTTCCTCTTTTTCTATTCAGCAAGTAAGAACACAAGCAATCAGCCCCATGTTAAACACAGGGGAAGATTAAAACAGTAAGACAAGGTCTTAGCAACAAGAGCCCTCCTTTCCAGAAGAAGCTAGCAAACAAAAAGCACAATTTCATGTGCTAACAAAGGACTGAGTAACTTTGCCCAGGCCCACGGCAATGGGGTTCACAGAAGAGATAAAGTGAAAAGAGGGCTGGGTCTTAGAAAGCAAGTAGGAAAACCATTTTTCCTTGGTACAAGCATTAGAATCGAGTGTTAAGATAC